AAATTTAAAATAGAAGAAATCACATGGAAACGAGTTATGAAGCATCTATCCACGACATTATATATCCGCCTAATGAGTATGCGCGGCCCATGCGCCATGGGGACCCACGAATACAAACCAGCATTATGTTCCCTCAGCAATACAAGCAAGCAAGCAAGCAAAGATAAATGAGAGCCCAGGCAGCGAAAACAAAGCGAAGAGAGATGAGGACATAGGCAACGAAAACAGTTCCAAAGCGTAGCCAGGGATTGTATGTGTGCATATGGGTGCAACAGTTAATACGGCTAGTGCAGCCATGGACCGCGCAGCAGCACGGAAAATACAAAAGTGCCACAGCAGCAGCCAAGAGTGCGCAAACACTAAAAAGGCAGATCATCCATGATTTGAATAGTTTGCAGGCAACCTGCCTACACTCAAGAGAGAACTGCATTTCACACAAATCCATTACGGGTATGGTTTCAACATTTCGGTCTTCATGACCATCATCAGGAATGAAGTGGACATGGAAAAAAACAGCAGTATAAAAGAAGGAAGCAAAGCACGATACCTAGTGACAGCGCGCGTAGAGAAGTGCAGAGCACGTCGTGGCGGGTGCATTGCTACATGTACATGACAACACAGGCACAAAACGACGAGGAAAGTAGATATTGCGCTACAGGAGTGATACAAGTACAGTTCCAATCTCACAACTCCTGTGAGGTATGTAGTGCTGTAGCGCAATATCTACTTTCCTTCATCGTTTTGTGCCTGTGTTGTCATGTACATGTAGCAATGCACCCGCCACGACGTGCTCTGCACTTCTCTACGCGCGCTGTCACTAGGTATCGTGCTTTGCTTCCTTCTTTTATACTGCTGTTTTTTCCATGTCCACTTCATTCTCGATGATGGTCATGAAGACCGAAACGTTGAAACGGTACCTGTAATGGAAATGCAGTGCTCTCTTGAGTGTAGGCAGGTTGAGTGTAGGCAGGTTGAGTGTAGGCAGGTTGAGTGTAGGCAGGTTGAGTGTAGGCAGGTTGAGTGTAGGCAGGTTGAGTGTAGGCAGGTTGAGTGTAGGCAGGTTGAGTGTAGGCAGGTTGAGTGTAGGCAGGTTGAGTGTAGGCAGGTTGAGTGTAGGCAGGTTGAGTGTAGGCAGGTTGCCTGCAAACTATTCAAGTGTAATGAAGCTGCGTGAAGCATCCTTCAAAAATTTTCATCCATGATTTTTTAAATTATTGTCGTATTATCTTCTTACAGCTCCAACGAGTGATCTAAGTTCGTTTAATTATATAGGTTATTCATTGCATTATTAAGATTATTGTCTCCATGTCGCCGTTTTATATAATTATAATACTCAATCTGCGGACAGCATGCTGTTTCGTTCTTTTTGAACTCATCAGCGCAGCACAGAGAAAATGAGGCCGAACCTGATAGCAATGAAAATAAAAATTTCCAATCAGGCCCGAACGTACCTTGCCAGAGTGCTCAAACTGACAAGTCAGTGAGCTCTGCATAACGCAAACAGCAAAGGCACTACCCCACGCAAGAGTGCTCAACTGCTACAAGAGCAGGAGCGAAATACTCAATCTGCGGACAGCATGCTGTTTCGTTCTTTTTGAACTCATCAGCGCAGCACAGAGAAAATGAGGCCGAACCTGATAGCAATGAAAATAAAAATTTCCAATCAGGCCCGAACGTACCTTGCCAGAGTGCTCAAACTGACAAGTCAGTGAGCTCTGCATAACGCAAACAGCAATATATATCATTACTATAATTATAATAGTAATAGTAATGATATACTACGAGCACAATTGCAGGTTAAAGGGGAAGTTAAGGCAAAAATTAAAATTTCACCAGTTGTAGTCTTCGGGGTGCTGAGTCGAATGGTCTTGGTCCGAGAAAGCTGAGACGCTCCCTTCCTACTTGAATCCCAATCGAACTCGCGTACTTCCACCGAAACTGGGTGACTGCGCCCTACGAGATGGGGATTTGTATGCAAAATGTCACTAAAAGCGCCGTTTCGTTCTTATAAAAGCACGGATGACCGCGATTGGCCCATATGTTGTAGTCTTTTGGACGTTGAGTCGACTGGTTTTGGTCCGAAAAGGCTGCAATGCAGCGTTCCTCCTTTATTCCCAATCGAACATGGTTGACCAAGCGGTCACGTGCTCCTGGGTGCCCAAATCACCTGGTCACCACGCCAGCAGGCGACAACTTTCACACCAAGGTTCAACTCGAGTTCAACTCGAGTGACAGGACTGCACCCAAAAAAGGTCAAACAGGCTAGTAAGTTGTACCCTGCAGGCACGGTGACCAGCTGACTGGTGTACGCAGGAGCACGTGACCGCTTGTTCAACCATGTTCGATTGGGAATAAAGGAGGAACGCTGCATCGCAGCCTTTTCGGACCAAAACCAGTCGACTCAACGTCCAAAAGACTACAACATATGGGCCAATCGCGGTCATCCGTGCTTTTATAAGAACGAAACGGCGCTTTTAGTGACATTTTGCATACAAATCCCCATCTCGTAGGGCGCAGTCACCCAGTTTCGGTGGAAGTGCGCGAGTTCGATTGGGATTCAAGTAGGAAGGGAGCGTCTCAGCTTTCTCGGACCAAGACCATTCGACTCGGCACCCCGAAGACTACAACTGGTGAAATTTTAATTTTTGCCTTAACTTCCCCTTTAAGGCGCACAGCCTCTGTGTAATGATAATTATACTAGTAATGTAGTGTCGTTAGGCTTGCACCTTCTCAACTTTTTGTCTTTCCACTTTTCTTGCTCAATGACCGGGTCATGACGACATTGTGAATAGGGGATTGTCCTCTTGGGCGGAACTGGACGTGGTAAAGTAAGTGATATGTAGGGTCCTGCATTGCTAGCTGTTTTGTTTGCCACCCCATGACAATGCCTTGACTGTGTAACAGTCAGTGTGTTGTGCATGCTGGATCAGTAAGGTAAATTTAATGGAGGGGGGGGGTATTTTTATTTTTACGCGCGAAATTCGAGCGAAATCGGAGAGATGGCCGAGCCCAGCTTTTCTGGTTTTCTCAGACATGCTCTCTTAGAATGTTTTGGGGAACCTGCGAGAGGAAGATAACACACGCAGATTTTGGTTGTTCTTCTTGTGGTAAGCACACAGGAAGCATAATCATTCTGCTGATCTCTTCATGTGTGCTATACGTGCTACTTCCTCCGCTAACAAAAACTTCGTAATGGATTTTTGAGGTACTGGTTTGTGCATAAACTGCCATGAAATGAGTCGCGATCACTTTCTCGGACTTCCCTGGCATGCCATGAAAGAGGTACGGTGCAAGGAAAGCGACCTTTCACGACAAGCCGAGCGGAAAGGATGGTTGCGCTGTGGCAACATAGGTGATGACAGTCATGGCGAGCGAAACTGACATAGCACTTCTCCGAGGGGATAATGCGCTGCGCGCTTGGCCTCTCTACTACTCTAGCACTGAGTTTGAGAGTGATAGAGAGCAATGGAACGGAGCAGCGAGCCTACACAATGAGCAAGTGACCAAGCAGCTGCTCCAATCGCTCGGCGCAATGAAATAATTCTGAATTCAAGTTATTGTTCAACCTGCGCAAAGCCCAGATTCAAATGCTGATGCCCATGCATTCTTTCAGAAGTCTGCAGACCGACGCGAGTTTCGTGGCTAAGGAAAGTCGACTGGACTTGCTAGCCACTGCCGTTCAGGGCTGGTAGGAGTAGCCAAATGAGAAAAAAATTCACGGGAATCAGTTTGGCTGTGCCTTTGCTCCCGCGTTTCGCGGAGTTCTGGAGAGTGGAGATGAAACCAGGAGTCCTAAAATATTTTTACGACACCCTGGTGGAAACGAGTAATCGCCACCGCAGCCTATCAAGCAGCTTGAAAGCCAACTTGAACGACGGCGACATCACCAAAGTTCAGCGGAGTGTGATCAAAGAAGCCGAGGAAAGGCTGAAACGAGCTGAACAACGACTCGAGAGAGATGACGACTCGCGTGCAGCCGATGACGACAGCGACGCAGGGTCAAAAATGAGTCGAGCGAAAGCGGCGCAAACTGAACTCTCTGCTCATTCCACCAACAGTTTCTCTTGTAAAGACGCTGTGCATGGGCTGAACTATCTTCGTCTAGTGATTTGCAGTCGATACAAACTATTCTTGACCTGTTCCAAGCGTTTTCATATCCATCAAAATCCATCACGAAGTTTTTGTTAACGGAGCAAGTATTATGACTGGGACATTGGTTCTATGGTTGGATATGGTGACTTTGCAGCAGGTGCAAATTGAAGAATATGAAAGTACTATAAGTAGTGGGTCCTGCATCTTAAAAAAAGAGGACCATAAGTTTACAACTTACTGTATTATCTCCGTTAGGGGCCATCCGTAAGTACCGATATTTGTTCATTTCTCCCCAGATCTCCTCCCTCGCCCCCCCCCCCCTCAAAACGAACATACACATGTTTATGCAGGGGATCGATATTATTGAATAAAGTGCAATCTCCTCATGAAATGTGACCAACAGCAGCTTCACCAGCTAGGTTTTCATTGCGGCGGTGGAAAAACCTTGCCATGGTTATTTTCACAAGGCGGACTTTCACTGTTTGTAGCTCATCAACTACATGTTTGTACAGTGCCTGTCCACACCTAGACATCGACATCTATTAACAAAGGTGAGATGAGCAGAGACCAGCCCCCCCCCCCCCCAACCCCCAAACGAACGAATATTTTCTCTAAAAAATATCGATATTTGTGGACGACCCCTTATAAGCCCCGTTGCTTATATTTTTCAACCAGTCTGGACCCCGGGCTTACATTAGAGACTGGGCTTCTACTAGCGAATGGGCTAAACAATTTTCAACCACCTGGTATATGTACATTGCTTATTATTTTCTCATTATATCAGTAAAGAACCCTTCCTCTCCAGTTCTTTACATTTTATTGGCCGAATAGTACCGTTTACCATTTGAAATAATCATATCAGTAGCACAATTTTTTCCCACGAGGTACCTGCAGTGCAGTTTTGTATTTCCTGGAACACTGAGCGAGTCTGAATTTTAGATCTAGGGGATCACAGACTTTTACCAGAGCATGTGTATATGTGATGTGTGACATCAAACATGCATGGACATGATCCATACAGTTCTCTATTATAAGTCCTTCGCTTATATTGGAGACTGCGCTTGTATATCTTCGAAGCCCTCTTGGAGTGCACTTGTGCTGGTAATAGAGACTGTGCTTCTACAAGAGACTGCGCTTGTAATAGTGATAATACGGTATCCGTTTTTTCCAACACCTTTCCCCAATTACTAGCAATTATAAGCAGGATACTGGCTGAGTAGTCAGAACTTGCAACAATTAGTACAACACTGACTGATGTAGTACTGACATTCAACGACCTGATGCTTAGCTGCATCACGTCTGGAATGCGCAAACCAACAGCCTTCCACCTTGGAACGTTCTAAGTTAAGGAATAATGTAAAAAAAGCTCAGCTCTTTTTCATCTGGAGTGCGCTCACCTTCCCCTTTCTTACAAGAAGACACGCGGACTGCCCTCAATGCGTTGGATCGACACTGTCCGAAAAGATCTTAAGAGTGTCGAACTCACCATCAGTAACGCCCAGAGCCAAGCTCATTACCATAGACAATGACAAGAAACTGTCAACAGATGCGTTAGCTCATGTTTTGAGTGACAAGCGAAAATATTATGTTGACATTATTCGTTCCCAAAGCTGGAAATAAAAGCTTGAAAGAAGGCATGAAGTATAGCACCGGATTCCATGGGACCCAAGGGTGAAGTGTTGCATCCATGCGCTCAGTGACGGGACCCAGAAATCACTACGAGCGGCGACCAAATAGACGTGTGGCCTCACGACGAGCCCAGCACAACCCAGGGGCAATCAATATAGCTGGCTTGGTCCAAGTTCAACCCCACACGATCAACAGACAAAGACTGTTAGTTTCACGTTGTGAGTAGTCATTCAAATCCGAGCTCAAAGTACACCAAGATAGAGAGCTGAGACCGAGTCTCGACTCGACTCGACTGAAGTAAAAGAGAGAATGAAAGCTTCTTGTATAGGGCATTTCAGAGATATGGCATGATCATTGCTTACAATGGTACAAGGTAATTTCAGGAAATAGGAGAACAGGTAAAACCGGAATATGTGCAGCCAGTCAGCAGAAAAGCAGAATGCACGTACGGTGATCATTCAAGAAGAAGGAGAAAGAAAGACATGGAGAGAAGAAAGACCAAATTGGGACGTGGGGAGCCCGCTCAACCACGTCAGAGCACAATGTGCGTAAATGAGGGTCACGTTGGGGAGCCCGCTCACCCAACGTGCCATTGCTCAGCGGCTTCTTATGGGTAAGTTCTGCGGTGTTCTTCCCTCTGCTTGGGTGACACTTTTAACCTGGCGCGGTGACAGTTTTGGCTCTTGCGCTCGTCTTGGCTTTTCATTATTTGCACTTAGCTCTTGTTAGTCTTGGCTCTTTGCGCAAAGCACCGAGGCATCCTGGAAACCTATAGAATATCGTAGGGACGTGGTTTTGCACAAAGCCTGGGGTCACATTTCCAGGAAGCGAAACACTTCCAGGAAACGTACAACGCGAGCACCTACCTGACCGGGTCCCGGCGTTGGTTCACATGATATGTCATGCCAAGAAGGCATGTCACCTACGTGGGAAAGCGCGTGTCGCTCAACCTACATGCTAAGCATGTGGGACAAGACACTGACCAAACCACGTTGTATCAAATGGGCGTGACAGCTCAGCACAGAGCTGCTCACTACATAGATCCTGCTGTCACAGGACTATCAGGCGGCAGTCGTCACGTCCAGGGACGTGACAGATCTAAAAACGTCCTCAGCCTCAAACGAAATAGATAATGTTGATACTGTTGATATTGTTGATAATGTTGATTCTTTGCAGCGTTTACTGAGAGTGTGGTGGCCAATTGTGCGTTGGCTGCAATGTCGAAGATGCATTTGCAGAAGGATAGCAAAATTGAACTACTTGAGAAGGAAACGACTAGTCTGAAAATGGAAAGTGTAGGCTCACTGTTAGCACTTTTGAGCACCTCGGAAGATCTGCCCTAGATGTTGCACGCAGACGGAGTGCAGGCTGCATGTGGGTGCGAATGCAACGTGCAGGGTAAATGTTGGGAAGGCATTGCAAGCTGACCAAGGGAAATTACTGGTGTCGACCGAGCACATCAAAGTCACCAAGCCAGGCACACTAAAGTCAGGCGCCAAATGTGTGTATGTACCGCATGTGGACAGCTGTACCGGTGTTTTGTAGACCAGAGCGTCCTCAAAGACCAGTGGTGAAGATGTACCCCTTATGTCCCTGGCAGATGTTGGATTTCTAGAGCCCATTCTTGTCAACCCCAACTCCCATGAAGTTGTTCGCATTGTGTTGCGCAATGTTGGGAAGCATGTAAGGGTAAAACGATGTGTTGGTGACAAGGGGGTGAGGGAGCGGCCCACTGTTGTGTGTGACGGCTTGTCGTACTCCCTCATATTAACTGTGATG